GGCATCTACAGTTGTGACCATTCCAGCTGGGATCCTAACATCGCTTTTGCCCGCAATCTTCGCAAATCCTCTAACTGACGTCATAGCTTTCCCTGCAACTTGGAGTGTATTAGACCAAGCAGAGTCTTCTAGGAGTTTGGGTTCTTTAATCTCTTGATTCATTCTTTGTATAATGTTCATTCCAATCAGACCTGGCACAGCTTCTTTACGGGCTCTTGACTGGGGATCCGGGGGGTCCTGTACCACGAGAATACCTCCCTGAAGGATGGTTACACCTTGTGCTTCAAAGTCTAGTTCCAGGTAACCAATGTATGGTATTTCCAGGCCATTAGCAGCTGTAAGGGTAAGCCATTGGTTTGTGTCAAGCAGTTTGCTTCTTCTAGGGCGGAAGTGCTTATTAAAGAAACTCTCAGTGATGGTGGAGACTTGTGATCCGGAATCAAGAAGACAGCGTACATGTACTCCCCCCAGCTTCACAGTAGTGACTGGACAACTTCCAACTGCTCTCTCATAGACAATTCCAGGTAACTGTGGGGGACAAGGTGAGCCAGGACTGTTCCCTCCTGCTGCCTGACTCTCAGCAGCAGGGGGGGCTAGTTTGACGGGTTAGGTGGAGGCCTGGGGGTGAGGTTCCGAAGGGGCGGGGGTCTACTTCGTGCTGTGCAATTCCGGGCAAAGTGTCCTGGTGCTCCACACTGATAACACCTGTCGCCACCTGCGTCAGGTCTAGGCTGACGCTGCTGGAACTGGGGCTGAGGCTGTATATTCTGTCCTCTGTGGGTGGGCACTGTATTCAGCTTCTTGAGATTGGCTGCTAGGTCTTCGATAGCCTTTTGCTGGCCTTGCAAGGTTTTAATCATCTCATTCATAGCTGATTCAATGGAAGAGGGCTTAGTGGAGGTACTGGTCTCATGCGACGAAGCCACCCTGGGGCGCGGTCCACAGGACTTCTCGTCTTCTTCGGCCCATCGAATAGCTTCCTCTCTGGTGCCTAGAAAGGAAATTTCTGGGTGGGTTCTAATAAACTTCTTGAGTTCCTTTCGAAGGAGGGGATCTCTAACATTTTCGGCGAAGTGGTCTCGAAGGGCTGCGTCTTGGCCACTTGATTTGGTCACACTTTTCTTTTGTATCTTGGCTTGCAGTTCTCTCAGGGCATGGGAGAATGCACGAAGGGTTTCGCCTTCCCTCTGTCGGCGGTCGTAAAAAGCTTTTAAGAGCTGGGGAACAGAACGCTTCTCGCCAAAAGACTCTTGAAGGAGGTCGAAGATCTTATCTGAATTCGTAAGGTCACTTTTAGGGTAGAGCTTCATTTCTTCTTTAGCGGGGCCCTCTAGGTATGAGAGTACAAAATTCGCCTGCTCTGGGATGGGGAGTCCTCTTAAGGTGATTGCGCTTTTCGCATTATCAATAACATCCTCTATGGACAGTTCATTATCACCATGTCTTTCACTAAACTTCTTCAATTTTTGTTCATTGGGGATCACCACTAACTGCTTTTCCTGGGGTTGGGATGGGGCTGGAGCTCCTGGGGATTCCTTAGCTTGGAGGGTTTTCAGGAGTTGATATGCCTGGTTGTGTTCCTCCTCCAATTTTTGGAGCTTCTGTTTGAGTTGCTCCACCTCACCCTCCATATGGGATGTGACCTCTATTGCCCTTTTCTACTCCTAGTGCTTTATTGTATTTCTAAGATTTTGGAAGCCAAATAATATTCGCTACCCCACTCCTGGTACCAAAATGTGACCGAGCCGCGCGAGTAGGGGAGGTAGCGAATGACAACCAATGAAAGACAAAATGCGTACAAAACAAACAAGAATTTAATGGCCAATTAGTGGGAAAGAAATACAATAAAAAACAAATACTGGGAAAACGAATAAAGCAACAAAGAGGGAAAGAAAAGGGGCGATGAAAAGGGCAATAGCGCTAAAAGGAAACAACGACGCTAAAAAATTACTAAGACGGCTAAACAATACAACTAAGAGAATAAAAGTACACTAAAATGTAAAAAGTAAACAAAACACGCTAGGAAACATCATGCTAGGTCACGAAAGAAGAACAAGCGTGACAAATAGCACGTGACTCGTGTCAAGAGTCATATGATACGAAGACAAGAAAACAAACGCTAAACGAGGTC